TGACAACTGCACTGGGGAGAGCAATACCAGCCAGCATGACTAAGTCTGAAAGTTTTCAAATATGTGTATCTGCTAAAGCATTGGATCCACAAAGCCCGACATCCATTGATGGGTTAAAAATCAGGAGGTAAACACCTTTAAACTAGTTACAAAAGGTTACAATGACCTTCTAACTTTAAAAAAAAAAAAAAAAAAAAAAGGAAAAAAAATCCACTAAGTCAAAAGATAAGGCTGCTTGCTAAGAATACTAGGAGCAAGATCAAGTAATTATCATGTCATAATAAGATGGTTAATCAGAATAGTAAGATATGCACTGACAAGTCTGGTGGCAAATAAAGCACCCGATTTCCAAAAATAGCATCACCATAACATTTTATGAATACCATTTAGAAGTGTTCAGAAAATTGATCATGCCCAGGAAAGCTGTATGGGAGACACTTAAGATCTTTCTTTATGTGCCAGAAGTTATTTTACCCCCACACCAACACACCTAAAAAGACAAGAATTAAGGTCTCCTACATTTGTTGGAGGTCAACTTCCTGCCTTTGTCTGAAGTTAGCATAACTGATTCAATTCACAAGTTAACAAAATCCCTGTATTAATTCCAGTGTTATCTATCAGGGTAAAGGTTTCTTCTTTCTGCTGCCTCTGTAGGCTAGTGCTAGGACTTGGACTGGATTAACTACACTGTACTGTACAGATGTCCTTTCTTGCTTCTGACTCACAGGAAAAGCCTTGAAGGCTTCCACAGATTTCTCCTTTCCTTCTGCATCTCTAGCTTTGACAGTATTTGACACAGGAGCCCTCTTAAAATGTTGGCAATCACTATTACTTAGCCAAGACTATGCATAAGGCCTGGCAGTGCCTAGGGAGCCAGAGAAATGCCTGAGTGTGGAGTTGGAGACAGAGGGGTTAAAGGAAAATTTCTGATGACGACAGACTGCCTGTAACCCATTATCAGGGTTCAGGTTTCCTGCTTCAAGCCACATCCATCTCTGGATCTAAAATCCACATCTCCCCACAAATGTGTTTTTCACAGGCTTTTCATAACAGCACTTCCCAGCCCAAGACTTCGCTGCCTCCCTTCATCCGGCAAGCCCTGAGATTTTGTACTGTCTGCTGGCACCGACATCACTGCTGCTGCACAGTCACAGAAAACATCTAAGTCAGTTCTTAATCAAGCAGATGTGGATCTGTCCCCTCCATCTGCAGCACAGCACATCTTCAGCATCACACAGAAACAACTGGCCAACTTTCTCCTTCTAATTTCCTACCACAACATCATATATATGCAGATGATTTTTCTCTAGGTATATCTGTCAAAATGCTGGTCTCATTTGCAAGTTTGTAATAACTTGGAAAGAAGCAGTTCTCAACAGTTCTCAAACATGATGGACGGAGAGTACTGAGGACATGGCATGCCAAGGCCAGAGGCATAACCATCCACCCAAGTCACACCTCAGGGCCCACAAGGGAAGAGGCTGTATAAAATGCAAAATTTTAACTTGCATTCATTTGAGCGGGGAGGCCTTCAGCAATAAAACAAACTAAACAGCTTCTATTGAGAAGTAGTAGCCTCCTGAGTTTCTCAACTGACACTTCATGTGCATTTTTTCACTTCAAATTATGAAGGAGTTCCCTGTGAATGATGCATTTACCCGCCATAAGAAAAGGGAAAACTCAAGAACA